TTATTAAAGATCTTATATTATAATTGGCTCGTTGCCCTTCTTTTATTTATTGATTTATTCTAATTGAGCCACATTAACATTTAAATATTTATACTCTTCTTAAAAATATGGATATGAATTTATTTTTAACATTTTTTAATTACTCGAAAAAATCTCTATTAGAAAAACTGATACAAATATTACAATAATAATCTAATTATAATCTAATATAATAATAATTATTATAATATACTCTAATAATCATTATAATAATAAAATTAATAATTATAATATTTTAGTAGAATTATTATAAATTATTAGAAAAGTATATTAAAAAATGAGTATTAAAAAATACTCTAAATGTGCGACACTTCGGTAATGAAGGATAGTGCAGGCACGGTTCAGTTCCGCCGTTCCTCCCGATAGTTCCATTTTTACGACGCAGTGCGCGGGATGACGCTAGTACCGAAAACGAACTGAGGCATTGCTTCGTCGCTCAGTGTTACTTCGTGAGTATAATATCGCGTCAATCGTGTAATTGACCTTTTTGTGGGAATCTACGAAACGTTGCAATGGTAATGTGCTGAACTGTCGGACATGTATTTTATCAAAGGTGTCGTTCGCAACGAACGCACATTGATCAAAATATCAAATGCACCGTGCGACATGCATGAGTTGCATAGGTTGCATAGATCGATTACATCGCGCGACTATTCCAGCCCGTTTCGTGTAACGTCGCATAAAAATTATACAAATAATCGGAATTAGAATAATATAGAAAATATCTGTCGGAACCAATTATAGAGATATATCTAAAAAGTATACAGTAAACATAATTCATCGAGGAAACGCGGACGCGCGACAGTTTTGCCAACTTGCGAAAATTCCGCGTAATCGTATTATCCGCGATCGAACGTCGAGTCGAAGTATTCAGCTAATATTATACAATATACAAAAATGGAACAATATGATGTGGTATATAAAATAAGCTGTCTTGATAACTCTTCTTACGTTGGTCAAACCAAAAGAAAAGTTAAAACGAGAATCAAAGAACATAAATCTAATGTCAAAAAATCTAAAGATTCTCTCACGGTATTATCACAACATTAGATTGATCGTGATTACAAAATGAATTGGGATGACATTCAGGTATTAGATATAGAACCGTTCTTTCAAAAAAGAATTACGTCGGAAATGATCTTTATAAAAAAATAAATTAATGTGTGGCCTGAATAAGCAGAGTGATACGGAAAAATTACCAGAGACTTACTTTCCGTTGCTTAGCATAGCTCCCCCTTCTTAATACCATTTTATTCTCTCCTTTGAATCACGAAGGGTATTTAAAACAGTGTATCATGATGAGAATTTGGCAGTACATCTTAACTAATTTCGCTATTGTAACAAGACATCCACTCTCGATACTAATCTACACAAGTTGAACACAGGTATTAATTTTTATAACTGATAACTCGCTAGATGAATTGCAAGCTTTGAATTAATCAAGAAATATTGTGATCATTAGAATCTGGAAATTTTGCGTTCAACTAACAACTTAATACAAGCATTTGGAATATCGGAAATAAATTGGAATAAAAAATGGATATACAGGGTGTTTCCAAATTAAATGGCAAAACTTCGGGAGCGTGTAGAGGAGTAAAAAACTAAGAAAAAAAGTCCTATAGACATATGCTCGTTTTTGCTCCGTTTCAGAGAAATCGAAAAAAAATGTTTACATTTCTTGCCATATCTAGCACCGACATATTTGATTACATTTTCCACTTTCTGTTATGAATTTGTCAGTCGCTCTTTGAAAGCCTTTAACAGTAG